GAGCGGCGGGGCGGCGGCGGGAGCGGCGGCGGAGTGGTCGGCGGCGGCGCTGGCCTCGCAGGCGCTGGCGCTGCTGCTCATATTCGCCCTCTCGGCGCTGGGCAACGGGGCGGTGGTGCTGGTGATCGCCCGGCACCGGCAGCTCCGCACGGTCACCAACGCCTTCGTGCTGTCGCTGTCGCTGTCGGAGCTACTGGGCGCCCTGCTCTGCTTGCCCTTGGCCTTCCTCAGCTTGCTCGGCCGCCCACCCGGCGCCTGGCTTTTCGGGCAGCGCCTCTGCCTGGCCAGCGCTGCCCTCCACGCCGGGCTGGGCATCGCCGCCACCCTCACCATGACCCTCCTCTCCTTCGACCGCTACTGCGCCATCGTCCGCCAGCCCCGACACAAGATGGGCCGCCGCCGCGCCGCCCAGCTCCTGGCCGCTGTCTGGCTAGCCGCCCTGGCCCTGGCTGGGCCCTGGTACGGGCTGGCAGGCGAGGGGCAGCAGGAGGCCCGGCCTGGGGCCTACCGCTGTGTCTATGTGCTGCCCTGGGGCTCCTCCCGGCTGGGGCCGCCCTACGGGGCAGCCCTCATCGTGTTCTGCTACCTCCTGCCCTTCGCCCTCATGTGCTTCTGCCACTACAACATCTGCCGGACGGTGCGGCTGGCCGAGAGCCGCGTGCGGCCCCTCACCACCTACGGGCACTTGCTGCGGGCCTACGGGGAGATGCGCACGGCCACCACCGTCCTCCTCATGATCGTCTCCATCATCTGCTGCTGGGGGCCCTACTGCATCATGGGGCTGGCCGCTGCCGCCGGCTGCCTGCCCTTCTCGCCCACCATGGATGCTGTAGCCAGCGGGATGGCCTGGGCCAACGGCGCCATCAACCCCCTCATCTACGCCGCCCGCAACCCCAGCATCTCCATGCTGCTGCGGCACAGCCGCGAGGGTGGCTACAGGACTAGGAACAATGTGGCCGCCTACCTCTTGGTCCCGGGCCACCAGCAGGAGCCCCGGAACCGGGCTGACCACATCCGGGAACGCTACGTCAACAAGCACAGCGGCCTCCCGGGCAGCGCCCCATCCTCCTCCAGCCCAGTGAGTGGGGGCGAGGTGGCCATGTGGGCCTGCAAGAACCCCGCTGTGCTCTTCTGCCGGGATGGGCAACCGGACACCGTCTCTGAGGCTGCCTTGCAGGCCAAGGTGGACACTGTTGACACCAGCCTCTGAAGGGATCAGGGTCCAGGATGGAGGCATTGGGTCCCAGGGCTGTCTCCCTGAGGAAATGTGGGGAGTCTTTTGCAGCCAAACTACCAGGAAGTTGGAGTGATGGGACTGCATGAGCCGCAGGGTGGATTTTTCTCCATTGCGTGGGCTCTGGTTTGGTTACCCAGTCTGCGAGCAGCAAGAACTCCACAGGGAAAGGAACTGCCCTTTCTCTTTCAGCAGGCCTGGTGCACTGGAGGCAGCTGATGTGCCCAGCCAGCATAAGAGCTGCCTGCAAGAAGAAACAGCATTTGCTCCAGTCCTGTAGAAAGTGCCACAATGAAGCTAAGAAACAGACACAAACACAGCCAAAATTAACTGACTGGGCGAGCTGTTTGTTAAGTGCCAAACAAGCAATTGAGAGCTGAGCACTGGCAGCTGGAAGACACTGGAAACACCACACTGTGAAAACTGCATCATGGCAGGAAAATGTTGCTTTAAGCCATTATATGTGGAAGTGCTGATAGAAAGTCATAGATGGTAGGACAGGCTAAAAAAGTGATCTATTAATATGATATATTTTTTTTCCCAAACTCCTAAGCATAACAAAACACTAATTGTTGTGAAAGGGAAGATGTATGATACCAGGAAGGAAGGAAAGGAAGATGAAACCTCAGTTGTCAGAATTTCAGCAGCACTTTTTTTTTTTTTTCTTCAGGAACACAGCTTAAAATACTGTGAATATGAGAAATGAGAGTTCTTCAGACAGACTGAGGAAAAAGGTTGTAGGCTATGATATCACTCAGTTTGTGCACAAGGTGTGTGTTTTCTTTTTGAGCTCATCCGAAGTCTCTCACATCTCTAAGGTTTTAACCATGTTTAGAGGAGCCATGCAAGAGAGGTGAGTATCTGAAAGCAGGGGTAAAGCAATACCATGCCCTCTTCATGTGCTTTCAGGCATGTGAAAATGTGCATATGGAGAGAACAGGTATTGTTGTATTGATGGCAGCAATCCATTTGGAGTATAATATTTAAAAGCCAGCTAGTGAAAAAAAGGAAAATAACACAATGGAAGTGCAGTTGCACAACATAAATTCATATGAATTTGTCAGTATAATTTTATTATCCAAAGGCCTAAAGCCTTAAATTAGTATTTTGAATCAGAAACTAAGATTGGGCCTTCCTTTATCTTTTGCTTTATCTTCCTTTATCTTTACCAGATACCATCTTTACCAGTTAAGTGTGAAAGACGGGCAGTGTTTTCCCTTGTACAGGCTTTAAAAATACAGTGTTACTCTTTTATCAGCTTTCTCAACTGTTTGTGACCCTAGTGAACATACTATCATTATTTTGTAAGGCAAGAAATAAATTGTCTTTTATGGAGGAGATGAAAGTGTCTCAGCCTGGTGTCATTTCCAGCCCGGTCTTGAGAAGGCAACTTCTGTAAAAAATTGCCAGATGAGTGGTAGTAGAGAGAGACCTAAATGTTTGTGAAATTTTAATGCAGCTATTTTTCACGCTGTGAACATTACTTTAATTTTCTTCTGTGATGCTCCTGAAGCCCGCGAGGAAAAGATTTCACCCTTGACTACTTCTGAGCCACTGTAACTTTACCCTGCAGACCCTGGATTTTGGAAGTTGAGTGGTGTATTCGCACTGCTTCAGAGAGAAGCTGGACAGAAAACAGAAGCTCTTTGACAGCAAGTGAACACTAGTGACTTGTTAGAAGGGTAGGACGGGAATTTCTTGCCCTTCCACAGCAAGGTATGGCCTGTGTAAAGTGAAAGAGCCGGTTGTGAATGATGACATTAGGTTTAATTCTTACCTAGGTAGCTGGTAGGTGGTAACAGATTGGTGTGGGCTAATTTGCCATACAGAGCACTCTGGTATTTCCACAGCTTCGGGAGCTTTTGCCATAGTTCCAGTAGTCATTTACACTTACTTATAGAAAACTTTAATTGCAATTCAGGAGATAGCAAAGAAAATCTGTGGGGTTCTGCTTTCCCAGAGTTCCCATTTCTCCATGAGTTGTAGCAACAGACACAGAATCACAGAATGCTATGGGGTTGGAAGGGACCTCTGGAGATCATCTAGTCCAACCCCCTGCCAAAGCAGGTCCACCCAGAGCAGGTCCTACAGGAACATGTCCAGGCGGGTTTGAATGTCTCCAGAGAAGGAGACTCCACCACCTCCCTGAGCAGCCCATTCCAGGGTTTTACCACCCTCACAGGAAAGAAGTTCCTCCTCATGTTTAGAACTTCCAATGTTAAAGTTTGTGCCCGTTTCCTCTTGTCCTGTCCCTGGACACCACTGAAGAAAGACCGCCCCATCCTCTTGACCCCCTCCCTTGAAGTATTTATCACCACTGCTCAGATCCCCCCTCAGCCTTCTCTTCTCCAGACAAAAAAGACCCAAGTCTCTCAGCCTCTCCTCGTAAGAGAGATGCTCCAGGCCCCTCATCATCTTTGTAGCCCTCTGCTGTCCCCTCTCCAGCAGCTCCCTGTCCTTCTGGACCTGGGGAGCCCAGAACTGGACACGGTACTCCAGGCTCCCCAGGTGACTCCCCAGGGCAAAGCAGAGGGGGAGGATGACCTCCTCCAGCTTAGAGTCATTAGAGTAAGTTCCAGTGCTCTGTAATGCTGGGAGGACAGAAGCAGAGAAAGCTGTCCAAGCTCAGAACTCATCAGCCTTGTGTAGTACAGACAGCAGGCAAAGCCAGACTGGTTGTAGTTCATGTGTCACCTGCAGAGCAGCACCCCGACTCCCATCCCCTGGCCACGGAACAGCTAGCTCGTTTGGTGCGTATCCTCACTGCGGTATGAAGTCTGCGCTGTAGGAGAAAGGATGTCACTGGTTTTAGCTTGGCCCCTCTGCAGCTCTCAAGGAGGGGTTGTGCTGGTACTTGCTGCTCAGGAAACAGTCAAGCCCAGAAGCCTTGCTGGAGCTCTTTGTGCCGGGGGAAGCAGCACACCAACAAGCCCACAGGCTTCTGGGCTCATCATCAAAGATGAGCTAGATCCAGCTATGATTCAGCAGAGGAAGTAAATTCACTCTGAGAGGAGCCATTTGTTATTTGTGCTATTTCTTGTCTCGCTGGCACTGAGTTCATCCAGGTTCAGCTGCTTTCAGGAAGGCAAGCACTGGCGCAAGCCCACAGAACTGACTGCGGAGCAATTTCCAAATATCGGATCCTTAATTTTATGCATCCATTATCCTTGCATTTATAAACTATTTTTAAACTTACCTCTTCCATAAATAGTCAGCTCAGAAACTAATAAACAATGGAGCATCTAGAGATTCATAAACTGAAAAAAGGTTGTTTTTTTTTAAAGCTTTGTTCTGAAAAGAGGATTGCACCTTTTATCAGAGGGGTATTTATTGTTGTGTGCACTGAAAATTTAAAGGCATTTGCAAATCTCAGTGTTTCACAGGTTGTCTCCTTTGCCTTCAGCCATGCAGACACCCTCTCCTCCTTACAACCATAAGGAGAAGCAGAAAGTTGCAGCAGGGATGACTTTGGGGAGGTGACTTTGGAAGATGACACTCCTCAGCTCCCAGGGTGGCGATCAGGAGTGGGAATATTCAGCACTGCCCTTCTACATCTGGAGGAATGTTTCTCCCAGGGGCCAGAACAAGGCACCAGGAATTTCTTCACCTGCTTCTGCCAGCAGTACTGATGCACAGGCGTAAACATTTAGGTTTGTGCTCAGCAGCTTGACCAGGGGGCTTCACTGAAATGTGCACCCTCAGAGCAGGCGGAAGCATCTCCCCAGCAGTGGGCAGCTGGAGACATGCTGGTGCTGCGGCTGGTGAGGAACGGAACTGCCTGGATGAGTCCTACAAATTAAAAACCCTCAGGGTCATAGATGTGGACAAAAGCAGCAAGATAAATTTCTCTTGAACTGCTCACCCAACAATTCCCTCACAGCCACATAAATGTGATTTGCTTACCCGACCTAGAAACACGCTCTGAACTACTTTCAGCATCAGGGAAAAATAATGCTCTGAAAAACCAGGTCACTTATTTCTCCAGTGAAACGGAATGTGCCACTGCACTTGAGCTCCTCCATGACCTTTGCCTGTGGCTGCTCTGCCCAGTCTGCTGCATTTTACAGAACATTTGTTAATATAGTGTCCCTGAGGTCGTGGCAAATTTTGAATACAGCGTCTGAATTGCGGATTCTTTGCAGAACATGTAACTCAACTACTGATCAGTCCCTGCTATTAAATTGGAAGGATTTGCCACAGGTCTTGCCTGGATGCTTCACACTCTTGATTTCCCAGTAAAGAGAGTCTCAGGCAGGTTGGGTCTTCCTCACCTTTCCTTGACTCCAGGATATACTCTGCACAGAGCTTGGCAAGGTAAAGCTGTGTGAACGTACTCAAATTCAAGCCGGTGGAAAAGCCCCTGGTACCTGGCAGTGCCCAAAGCTCAGGTAGAGCCACAGGCACCTTCCCACCTCGGCTTTGCTGATGATGGCACCTTGGAGAGCCAGGGGGATGGGTTAGGCAGCAGGAGCACAGCTCGGTTTGGCTGTCCCGTGTCTCCCAAACTTGCTGTTATGGTTAAGCTTAGTTTAGGGCAGTTCTACTCGCTGTGCTCAAATACTTAGGGCATGTGTCCTATCCCTCCTGCAGAGCCACGGCTGAGCTGAGAGCGTGGACTGGTGAGCAGAAGGTGCAATAGGGACCTTTCGGTAAAGAAAGTCATGGAAAAGTGGCAGTTCAATCTTCAGAGAGCTGCCTCAGGGACTGGGAAACTCCACCTCAGGGCCGAGTTCATGCAACATGACAACAGAGGGCAAGGAAAGCTGGGTTTTAGCAAGGGAAGCCTGCAGAAAACAGGGTCCCAACATAGAGCCCATCATCGGGACAAGTTTTGGGGGGAACTGTGGTGGAGTGGAGCGTGTTTTGGTTTCAAAAGCAGTGGAGGCAAGTTTGTGGCCTTCAGGTGTCCAATGAAAGCACTTTGCATTAGCTTCTCTAACACACGCACACACTTATGTTGCCTGCAGGCACAGACAGACACACACACACACACAGAGGCGCACACACACACACACTGCCACCCGGGCAGTGCCCAAAGTCACAGCACAGCCACACATTGTGACCTTTGGCGATTTGACTCCAATTATGAAGGACAGAATTAAAATTACTCCTCCTCAACTACGGTGGGGGAAACTTAAATATAAAATTTAGCATTTTGGCTGTTGCACAGCCAGAGAACACTGAACTTTTCAGACCATAGCAGTGATCTAGCAGAGGTAGGGAAGAGACAGGACTGATTCTATACTCAAGACAGCTCTAAAACCATGAAGTGTGGAAAGCACCAGCAGATGGTGGTGCTGCCTTTCCCGAGGCTCTGCTGGGGCCAGGCAGCACAAGCTCCCGGCTCCCCTGCGCACACCCATCAAGCCTGGTTTAAGGCTAAAAATAATGTAAAATGGTCAGAGTGCCTCTGATTAAAGCCAAAACTGTCCTTTTCAGATGCGTATCTGGCAGGACCCTGAGCAATGCCAGGGAGAGCTCGCTGGAGAGATGTCTGTAGGGTTTGCTGCAGGGGAGGGGATGGGGACAGGAGGCTCACAGGAGGCTCACAGCCTCCCTCCTGCACCCCTCAGCCTCTGTGTCATCTTGGCCTCTCCCGTCCTCCCCCAGAAGCTTGAAGGGCACGTTCACCCCACAGCATGGGCAGGCAGAGAAACACCCAGGTGCTTTCATGGGGTTTTATTGCTCTGCTGGTCTCTGCACTGAGGGGTGAGCCAGCTCCCGGAGCGCTCCAGCAATGCCAGCCCTGCACAGGGGCCACAGCTCTGGTGACCGGGCTGTGCCAGGTCATGCCATTGGCCAAAGAGCAGTTTTACCCCAGAACATCTGCTTGAGCTGTGCCATAGGCAATGGGGACAGAGACAGGTCCAGCTGCAGCAACGGGTGGGAGCAGGACTGGCAACATCCCCACTTTCCCGAGGGTCTCCAGGATCCGTTGTTCCCATTGTACCCACCCTTGGGAGTAGACAGATAGTTTTGGACATGAAGTCCAGCAAGCTCCTTGCCAGTGGCACCGAAGCAGCAGTGCTGGGAAACCAGTGCTGGGAGCCTGGTTTCTCCCCGTTGAGCTGTGCCTGCCCTACTTGCTGAGCTGAGCTTTGGATGCAATGCTGTGTCTGCATCAGGTCATCATCTCAACCTCTTGACTCACCTTTTCCAGGCCAGGGTGTGATGCCCAGGATCACAATTTGAGTGCAGGAGAGGATTCCTGACGCTCTTCGCTCCAGTGGGATTCCCAGTCACCCTAGACTTTGGCAACAGGGAAAGCCACTCAGCTGGAGTGGACAACAGCCAAGGCTGGCTCAGGCTTAGTGCCACCAAAGTG